TATGAGATTTATTCACGTTGGCGTGTACCTCCTCAGTAACAGCTTTGGCTTTACCAATAGTCACCTCAGCTCTTTTAGTTATGGGCTCGTCATTCTTGTTTTTCATGCCATCATCAACTTTTATCTCCTTCACAATGTGGTTCTTCAAGTAGAACTTTGCATCGGCGAAGTGTGACTCTGCCTTGGAGAATGGCTCATCATCAGCAACTATCTTCTTCTCGACTTAACCCTCGTAGTATTTTAAACATTGATGGTAGGTAGATGGAACTACTTTATTCTCATATATCCAAGGCCTTCCAAGCAAGACATTGTATGAAGTCTGTGCGTCGATTACATGCAGTCGTGCACTTGATTGCATATCTTCAATGGTGATTTCCAGCCTGATCGCGCTTATGGCTCTTTGCCCCTCTTGGTTGAATCCTTGGATCATCACACTACTTTCTGAGAGTTCGTTCATGGGAATACCAAGTTCTTTCACAGTGCGAATTGGCAAAATGTTCAGTGAGGATCCTCCATCAACCAAAATTCGATTTACCCTTTCATCATGCATATAGCCAACCAGATACAATGGGCGGTTATGAAGAGTGTCACCTAGCAGAAGATCGTCATTTGTGAACGTGACTTTTTCCTCACAAGCATTAACTTCTTGAGGAGTGAACTCGATGAGCTTTTCCGAAGATGGTTCCAACGGTAGGTCATCACTCTTTTCTTCCCCTTTGTCAGCATGGCAACAAGAGGTATCAATACCCTCATGGGAAATCTTCGTGCAGAACCGACTTGGTAAAAACTCCTCCAACGTCACTGGATTTCGTGGCTTTTGAGAGTGGTGCGCCTCCACTTTTTCTCTCTTTAAGTGCTTAACTGGATTCCATCTCCTTGGTCTTTTTACCATCATTTTCCTTGTTGGTTGTTCTACTGATTCTTTTCGTGGGCTCCTTCTGTGGTGCCTACGATGAGTCACCAATGTCCAACCTTCATCATCATCAGGTTGATTGACTTCAGCTTTATCGTTCTCCAGTGATTCTTCATCTTTACTTTCTTTAAAACCACATAATTCATCCGGACTGAATGAGCCAAAGGTGATAGAGACTTGGTTCGCACTTGCCTTTTCATCTTCAAGCACGATCTTCTTTTCACGGGCCAAGTCCATAACTTTGTCCTTGAAGACAAAGCACTTCTGCAGAGGGTGGCTCACAAGTCGATGGTATTTGCAGTAATTTGGGTCATTTGTTTTCCCAGCTTCATTTGGTCGCTTCATCTCCGGAGCTCAAAGAGATTTAACTCGAGGAGTTCTTCAAAAATAGCTAGCACATCAGAATCCAAAAATGGGTACTCTTTCTCTTGCATTTCTTTTAGAGTCAACTTTCCACTTAGCTTATCTTGAAAAGAAGTGGATTTTATACTCTGCTTCTTGCTCACCTTCGTTGTGAACTTCACAGGTAATGTGTTGACATTCATAGCTTCTTTGTTTTCAGATTTGGGTACAAACTTGCTCCATTTCCTGACTTCTTGCTTGTTGTTCCCTTTTCGAGGCTCATAGATAGGCAACCTTTCATTTCCAGCGGAGGCCATGCTCAACTCCATGTCATGGGCACGAGTCGCAAGTTCTTCAAATGTGCCAGGCTTGATACCTTGCAAGATGTAGCGTAGTCCCCAATGCATGCCTTGGATGCACATCTCTATGCCCCAAGCTTCACTAAGCCTATCTTTGCAGTTGAGGCTTGCATTCCTCCAACGATTGATAAAGTCGATAACTGGTTCACCCTTTCGTTGACGAGTATTTGTAAGTTCTATCATACTCACAATACGTCTCGTTCTATAAAAGCGATCGAGGAATTCTTGCTCTAGTTGATCCCAGTTATCAACAGATCCAGCCTTGAGGTCCGTGAACCCATCAAAAGCATTTCCTTTTAATGAGCGGACAAACTGCTTGACGAGGTAATCTCCATAAGTCCCAGCATTGTTGCATATCTCAACGAAGTGCGCCACATGCTGCTTTGGATTGCCTTTGCCATCAAACTGTTGAAATTTTGGAGGTTGATAGCCAGCAGGCATCTTCAACATGTCGATCCTTGAAGTTTACGGCTTTGCGTAGGTAAAGGAGGACTTGGAATCGACTTCATATTTGTTTTTTATAGTCCCTTCAATGAACTCCTTTAGTTGATTGATTGGAATCATCCCTTCCGAAGAGACTGGAATTTCCTTAATGGATGCAACTTGTCGTGGGGGAAGATCAATCTCTTGAACTTCTGGGAGTTTGCCAGGTGCATGGGTGGATTCTTCTTCCATCAAGATTCCCACCCTGTCTGTTAGCTTGTCAATTCTAGCATCTTGATTTTACATGCATTTGGTCAAGCTAGCGATTGCTTCCGTCAAGTTTGCCAACTGCTGCTCCACAGATGAAGTGTTTGTCACCATGGCTTGCATGATTGTTGTGGACGATGGAGAGTAGCATGGATTGTCACACAGATTGATCCTTGATAGGATCGTGCTATGTGGTGTAAGTGGGGAGGATCCATCACTTGAAGCATCATCATCTTCCTTCACAACAGAGTGCTTGGATCCGGAGAGGTCAATCAGAGCAAGAGTTTTCTTGATCTTTTCAGCAATATCGCTTCCTCTTTCGGGTGTGTTTGTGGACGATCGTTCTCCTTTTGAGGATGAAGATCCGAAAACAGGGGTAGATGCGGATGGCACTTGGGGTGCTTGTTGTCCTAACGAGCTTGCTTTGCTCCTCGTAACTGGTCCAAAGCTTCCAAAGGTAACTTCGAGTATGTTTTCCACTTCAGCATAGAACCTGGAATTAGCAGCCTTGGTGGAAGTTGAACTGGGGTTGATTTTCTTTGAAGCCATTTCGATGTTCTTGAACTTGGGTGATTGAAAAGTTGAGATGAGAGGTAGAGATTGTCCCACTGGGCGTGCCAGAATTTGTAGACAATAAATTGCGTCAAGAAAATAATCGAGACCGAAAAATATTGCAACAAACGTAGTATTTTATTTCAAACAATTGAGTGTACAATCTCTATGAATCCTCTGATTCTTCTTTTCAACAGTAAATAAAAGAGCTTTTGAGCTTAATCTTGAATTTTATTTTACTTTAATCCAAGTGCTTGAGGTTTGATCTTGATCCTGACGTATTTTTAATCCAAGGGCTTGCAGCTTGTTCATGAATCTTCATCTTGATCTTTTAATCCTTAGAACACTTGAATGTTTGTAGCTGTTAGAGAAATCTGCAGCGTTTGATCCACGAGCTCTCTCTTGCTTCTTGTTATAACTTTTGGTATTTTTCTGGGTTATGAAGACCCCTATTTATAGTTGTGGAAGGGAGGAGTCATGATAAGAACAAACTCTTTCCGACCAATCAAATTGAAGTGTGACATGGCCGCATTTGATTGGCCAGAACATGTCACTTGCACACGTGGCGTGATTTCATCGGCCTTTTAGTGTGACTTGGCATGCCTTGTCATTTTGACACGTGGCATGATCCTATTGGTTCTCCCGTTTGACTTGGCGCGCCACGTCATTTGACACGTGGCACCAAACTGGGCCTCTAGGAAGATGACATCTTGGGCTTAATGAAGTGGACTCATCACTTTAGCCCAATTAAATGGGCTAGCCCAATGGATTAAGGCTTATTTATTTAATCCATATATATTGGACCTATATAATTAATTCATTTATATATTAGCCCATAATATTTATTTGGACCAATATATCTTGAATTTAAAATATAGTCCAAATTATTTTATTGAATTTAAATTCAATAAATTTTCCATGCCTACAAGTAGGTCTTAGGAGAGGTAGAGGTATGCCAAAAAAGTATTGGGGAGAGGTGATTAGGCATGACATGTCACAAATTCAGTTTACCGAGGACATGACTCTTGATAGGAGGGTGTGGAGGTCGAGAATTAGAGCATGAGGGTAGTGGGTAGTCGAGCATTCTTTCATTCCATACTAGTAGTATTAATATGCATTCTCGTATTTTCTTATCCTTAGATTTCTATTACGTGTTGTTTCTTTTTCTTTGGTCATCTTATTATTTTACTGTTGTCACTGCTTCTTTTCATGGCTTCTATACTATCGTATTCTTTTTATCATTGTTGTGCTTATATATTTTCATTAAAGTGGTGCTTATGCTTTCCTGAGCGAGGGTCTATTGGAAACAACTTCTCTATCCTCACAAAGTAGGGGTAAGATCTGCGTACACACTACCCTCCCCAGACCCCACGGTGTGGGATAATACTTGGTATGTTATTGTTGTTCTTGTTGTTGTGCTTATATTTTCCTTGACTCGAGGATTTGTTGGAAACAACCTCTCTACCTCCTCAAAGGTATACACACTACCCTTCCCAACCCCTACTATGTGAGAATACATGGGATATATTGTTGTTTGACATGAGTTCCTAAAGCTAATTCTGCACCTAGTAATTGTTGTCCATTTACCTAGTATATGTCTTATTTTTTTGGTTTCCCACCCATTGGCCGGTCTCTGCTTTGGGACCTCGATTATTCCGGATTCAGTGTGACATGAAGCGCTCCCTGCTAATTCTAACATTATTTTCCACTGACTAGGCCACTTTGAGCAATATTAGATTATACAATAGGGAAGGAGAATGTGGGCGCGCGTTAATAGTTGTTTTGAGATTTTCAAAACTTTTACAGAGAATTTTTCAATCAGTCCAAATACATCAAAATTATTCCAAAAGAAAGAAGAAGACAGTAATACATTTCCTATGCTGCTCTGTTAGCATATACAACAGAACAAAGAGGAAAAATACCAAAATGAAACTACTAGTCACGGATACAAAAAACCATTCTTCAGGAATCCTGTTTTGCAGCATATATACACAATATTAGGATCACTTGTTAATAGTGTGTAGGTCAGTACCATCCGAATTACCAATATTTATGATGGCTTAATCGGTCATTATTGTTGATGTAACGGTGACCTCCAATCCAGATTTTCCTCATGATGCGTCTTGTTTAATCCTTCAGGAGGAATAAAAGAGTCAATGGAGAGTCCTGGGACGTTGAATGCAACATCATCGATGATATACGTCTCTTCCATTCGGGTGATTGCAGGCCCTGCCTTCAAGTTGTCACCAAATCTCGTGATAATCACGCTTGAACAACCTGAATGTGCAACCATCACACCCTCTACAGGCCGGTAATCCTCGACTTTTGTAGCCATTGTTGTTTCCCAATAAGTTGGAGGGGAACCAGGAAACTGAATTCTGGTTAAGTATGAGTCTTCTACATAAACTAGCAAGCCACTTCTTTGGCTGAAGTAACCAAACACAACATGCTTGATCATCTCTGCTGTGTTATCGCTCCTTTCAGTTAAGTCAGGGTGATTCGCCGATAATTTTAGAACAAAGCAATCCATACCCAACATTTTCTTTTCACCAATGTATTCTGCTGCAGAGAAAACTGCTGCTATAGCCAGTGGATCAAGCCCCTACAAATCAATGTGTTGACTTCTGTGTTAGCAATAAGAGATGTCCAAGTGAAGTTTCAGTACAAAGGTGGATCCAGGATTTGAATTTTATGGATTCCTATAGCGTCTTCAATTTAATAATAATTGGGTTCACATTTATAAATACTTACTGAATTTCTTAATACATATACATGATATGGACAAAAGCTATTGGGTTCTGATGAACGCATGTATATGTAGCTCCGCCTCTGATTCCCAAGTACACCAACAATTATATCACTTTCAGCATCTTTGTTTGCAAAAATGCAGTATGGTCACAACACAACAAGCAAAAAAATATTTTGGGGTACATGTACTTGTGCCTTTTTAGTATGTCTAAAAGCTGTGAAATGCTTGTGGTCACATGTACCACCATCACCGCAGGCAAAGGCCATGCTTTATTGTTGGATTTCCACTTAGAGATAGAATCAATATTGTGTGAAAAAACTAATAACTGAGATAGGGAGTAACATGCTAAAGGTAATAGAAAAACAAGATCCATACTTTCCTTCCTTGCCTGCCACTTATGGGGAATATTCCCATTTCCCCTTTACATCACCACCATATATAAAGCTAAAGACTTCCTATTAAGTAGTAGTACTATATTTCAAATATACCACAATACATCTCCTAGTATACAATAATTTATCTTATTTACATTGACGGCATAGAAGGCAGAGCCCTAGCGTAATTGTTAAAGTTACTGCCACGTGACCAGGAGGTTACGGGTTCGAGCCGTAAAAATAGCCTCTTGTGGTCCGGCCCTTCCCTGACCCCGCACATAGCGGAAGCTTAGTGCACCGGACTGTCCTTTTTTTTTTTTACATTGATGGCGTAAAGACACTCTTAGTATATTTATTTAAACATGTTGTAACAAGTTACCTGTCTTATTTTTCAGGTTATTAATTCACGTATTATGAACGGTTACAAGCATACAGTTATGACTTGCCTGAAGAGCACGGCGGAGAGGGCGGATGCCGCCTTTGGCAGCATGAGTACCTAGCCAAGGTGTGTGCCTCCAAGCCACATTGCCATCACTACCAGCTACAACTTTCTGACCACCTACAACTAGCTCAATCAACCACTTGTTAGGTACCATTTGCCACAAAACAAAGCATCCCTTTTGTGAAAGGCCAGTACTGCTAGATCCGGCAGGCGAACCGGTTGATCCGAGCTCGTCTACTATCGCCATCGCAACTTTCCCGCTGACATACATGTTCTTCATCATTGCCCCTTCAATCTTCCTACAGCCAGTTGCTGCTGTGAAGTGTTGAATAATGTATTGAGCTGATGACGAAACCTGTGATGCAAGATTCATTTAATAACGAATTAAGTCACCTAACTATAAATCAAATGTTAGTTAATACTGACATTATGATAGCATTAAATATTGTACAACCATTAATTTAAGCCACCTTATTAGTTCTAGGCCAGTAAATGTTTGTCTATGTGACCTTATAGTACAATAAATGATGAATAGGTACACGTGCATGTCCCACTTCCACAAACATCTCCACTGTCTGAATCCAATCTAAGATTTTGCATTTGATCTAGTTTCACTTCTCAATTCTTTGTTTAATTAATGGAATTTTGAACAATTAATAGTACTACATTGAAATTGATTTAATTACTTGTGCTTATTTTAAAATGCAAAATCACTTAAACCAGTGCCTCGAGCCCCACAAAAATGCGGACTTAACTGATTGTATTTATCAATCAAAAGATCAAATCCTTGCTATGGTATATTGGTTTGATTAATAAATATACCTTGTAACTTGAGAAAAAAATACATGAGCTGTTTTAATCGGTACTAATTTGTTTTGGGCACACCCATTAAGAAAATACTAAATTCTAGACAAAAATAGTTGGTGTGACTAAGCTACCCTTCATTAAATGTTGCATCATAGTTATAATAACACTTACTTCTCTTCTCAAATGTGAGGAGTAAATGATTTTTTTCAGGAATATGTACATAAGGGTAATTTTGTAAAAACAAATTGAATTTTTTCTTGATTATATAAATTGACACTTATTTTGAACCAAAATAAAAAAAGTAAATTGATAACACGAGAAAGTATGCATTATGTGAGAGTGAAATGGATACTCACCCGGCCCCTACCCCTAAAATGTGGTAGGGTGCTTTCACAGCCTAGACCACAACGAAAAAAGATGAAAAAGAAACTCTCAACTCAAATGGTTGCTCGAAAACAAAAGCAAAAATGGCCTAGGACAGTGCACTTTGTACACGTTTTCCAGAAATTTGACCCTCTGTTTTTGTTTCCTCAATAGTTAAAATATCCTTATTTTTACACTATCAAAATTTTTTTTCCTCCTTCTGTTATACTATTTGAGAAAAAGATACTAACTTTTTTTTTTTTTAAGCCAAATCAATACGAATAAACATTTGGCCTCATTTGTTTATAATTTTCTTTTTCTTTTTCTTTTTTTTTCAAAAATGTGTTTGTCTTCTTTTGTCTTTTTATCGGAAACAACCTCTCTATTCATCGGGTAAAGTATATGTACACACTAAACTCCCTAAACCCCACTAATAAAATCTTACTAGGTTGTTTTTGTTGTTTATCCATAAAATTTTGCAAGTTTTTAGAAACTTTTAGAAAAGTTTTTTTTTTTCCGCTTACAAAAGTACAACAATTTTTTCAAAGTAACATGCATATTCAACATAATTTTAAATTTCAAATATTATTTTTTAGCTTAACATGCGTCTTGTTTAATCCTTAGGTATGTTATTGTTGTTATTTTTCAGCTTTAGCTGCAAATACTACTTTTTTTTTCCAAAAATTACAATTTATATGTCCAAAGGCCTGCAAAATCTACCACAAGAAAGATGCAATATCAAGAGTGTCAATAAATAATGGGTGCTATTAATGAATTCTATAGAAGAAAGATAGGTAATAATGGAAAAAAAGAAAAAGGGAAATGGGTAGCTTACTTGAGAAAAGGGCATTTTAGGAAGAAAAGAAACAGGGAAGAGAGGGCAGCCAAGAACACTGAGGAGAATCCTGAGGTTAGATTTCTTGGTAATGAAGAGCAATGACAAATGAGTTTTAAGCCAATTCCTCCATGTTTGTGCTAATTTCTTTGATGATGAAGAAGTTTCATGTTCTTCTTCGTTTGTTGGCACTTCTGATAATGGTGCTAGACGACTCATTTTTCTTGATGATCACATAAACGAACCAAGATTGCAAATGTACACTTCCATCTATTGCATATATAAAAACAACAATATGTCTATGTTTATGTATTAGAAATAATAGAGTATTTTTCTTTTCTTTTTTTTTTTTTTGGGGGGGGGGGGGGTAGGGGGGGGTAAGACGTC